CAGCCCCATAAATGTGAGATGGGAAAGGTTCACATTCACCTCAAGTGGTTTTCTATGTCTTTATTACACATGCATGCACGCAAATAAGTACATATGTATATGCAGAAAATTACATACAGATAACTGCTATAGAGAGAGACTGCATGTATATAAAATGTTTAGAAGTATTTGTCTCTCACACCCATCCTTAGTTTGTGTGAGTGCCAGAAACTAGGCATGACGATCCGGACTGGAAGAAATATATTGCATTTATGGAAATCATTCATTATCCCTGTCTGGGAACCTCTTGAATATAAATAATATTTTCATTTATAAATTTCAAAGCACGGTCCTAAGAATGGGTAAGAATCATTATCTTCATTTGACAGTTGGAGAAACAAAGAGCAGACTGTTTTAAGCAGCAGTCTAAGGTCACATGGAGTAAATGAAGTCAAACCTCATCTCCCCAGCCTGACTTTCCCTTGAGAGAGCAGAGCAGATAGCACACCACTCAACTTTATCAGCTGAAACTCTTCAGCGTGTATGCTAATAGTATTGGCGGCCCTGAGCCTTCGCAGATCAGGGCTGAGGTTTCAAATGATCCGCAAATTTGCTTTAAATTCCTAAGATTAAAAAGCCTGTATAAATACACTTGTCTTTCTTTCGTTTGTTTGCTGTAATCTGAACCTTTGGGGTGTGTCAAGGTGATGGCTTCCAGGTATTTCCACCACCAAAAGATCTAGCCACCTTTCCTTTATAAAAAGGCTGGGAGAGGGGAACACTAAACAAACAGCACGGAATGCTGTCAGTAAAACCAGGAGAGCTAGCAACCAGATGCAGAGATCATGCCTATTTCTGGCACGTGCTGAAGGCTTCTTAGAGATCCTTAGAAAATAATCTCCTTCCTCCACCCCAAAAAAGACCTTAAAAAACAACAAGCCCCACATTTTAGTTTTGGAGATGCAGCGGGACCCGTAGTGACTCCAGGGACTGGTGAATATTTGTCACCAGCCTGGGTGGGGTCCTTGGGACCTTTTGCAAGGCACAAGAGCTTGGGGCACTGTTCAGTTTGCACTGTGAGCTGTGGGAACCAGGCAGCCAACGTGGCCAGCGCACCACTCAGGGCTGGGGATATGTCAGCCTTCTTTTGCAACCAGAACAGTTCTTCCCTCAGTGTCAGCCAGTTCCTCCCATCGGGGTGGTAATGTGGCACCACAGTGGCTGCAGCCACATGAAGCAGTGCACTTCAGCCTCAGTTCATCCATCCTCTTCGTATTAGCTCACGAAATGCTGATGGGTTAACACTGGTCTGTGAAGCTTTACATCAGGTAGCATTTATCTGCACCCTTCTTGCTTTGCACCAGCTGAAATCCACCGCTCTGAGGTGATGGTGTTTGGTGTAGAGCTTTTTTTTTGTTTTAAGACCTTGTTCAGATGTCTCCAAATTAGAGAATGTCTAGGGGCACTGATAGTTGTTTTCCTTTTAAGTCAGAGACAGTTTGCTTTTTTGGTTCCTTGGCTGTTTTATCTCTTATTATGTTGAACCATTTTGAAAGCTATATCTTGCATTTAAAAATCATATCCCATTATCTTGGAGGGAATTTGAAAAGGTCGGTGTTAAAAGAAAACACAAGTTAAAACAACCCCAACACTTGAGCCTTCAACACTAACTAACCCATGCGATTTTGAAGGTTAATTACACTTTAAGAAAATTCTCAGGCAATACATGTGGCATGCTACTGATAAAATGACATTGCTTATAATAAATTAAATTACAGTAGAATCTCATTGAGGCACTAATCATGAGCAAAGTCCTGAAAAAAAAATTAATGTTTAGTCAGGCTGGTATTCTTTGGAGTTAATAAACAAAGGAAATGGTGCATTCTGATGTATAGTCAATTACAGTTCAGATTTATTTGGTATTAATGCATTTGCACATATGTTGTAAAATGACAGTGGTGGGTGTGTGACAACATTGGAAATATCTGGATGGTCTCTAAGAGTGTGAGCAGCAGTGTGTTATTTAATACATTTTTCTTGGGGAGCACAGACATCTCAGTGGTGTCTCCTTGCTCTGCCATGTCTGTTAGCATTTTGGTGTTGGTACCGGCCTCGTACACACTGGGGAGAGTTACATACAGACATTCAAAAAATGGAAGTCAAATATGTTATCCAGGTTTCATTTCTTTCTCAAAGTCAGAAAATCACATGTTGGTACACATTTGCTGGTGTGTGAAAAATGAAGTGCAGGTTGTTACTGAATCTCATTTTTAGCAGGAAAGTCTTGAGTGTATGCCCTGTACATCATATTGGCATGTTATTTACTATGATAATAAATAAATCAATCTATTCTGAGAACCTGGTTCTTGTTTTTCAGCTAACTTGTTGACTAGGTCTGGTAAATGCAATTGTTCAGATTTCTTCATGCTGCAACCCTTGGAAATGTTACAAACCCTTTTACAAGAGGGTGGCACCCAACAGAATTCAAACTGCTGACACATAAATGGGCTTTAATGTCTGCAGAGTCTTCAGTCAGCTCCATTATATTCCTCTCAAACGAAACCACAAAATGTATTCAATAACATCACAGTTTCATTAGCTCAAACTCCACTGTTGTTAGCTGCAAGCAATATGGCCAGAAATCCTTGCGTTTAGAAGAAAACGCAGATCACATCTACTTGACTTTGCTTCCTCTGAGAATTCAGAAACCCAGACAAATAAAAATCCCTTGTTAGAAAGAAACAGAAGGAGATCTCGAAAAAATAAAGACTAGCTGGTCCTACAAACTTTGGTTCCGTTTGATAGCACTCAGCACATTGTTAAAGGCTATGTGAAGACATATTTGAGAACAGAGGCAAATGCCATGGATATTCCCAGATAAATAATCACAACATGAACATGGTCCAGCAAAATTCTTAATATGAAGGAGAAGGTAACATGCAGTCGTCACAACTTTAATTCTAACACTTAAAGATGAAGCACTAAAATGCCTTAAATCAGATGATGTCTGCTCCCATTTCAGTTGATCATTAAATTTTTTCCATGTGTTTGGGGTTGCAGCCCTGCCTGACTCCTTCTGGATAGCATCTGATGCATGAAAGCATCACAGAAGCAGATCTGTCCATGCCATGATTAAAACACACACACAGAAAGCTGCTTGGACTGCTGTGCAAAATAAAAATGCATTTTCTTCCTTTGCATTCCTTCAAAACACATCCCTCTTTTAACATCAGTCTTTCAAAGGGTGTTCTTGTTACTACAAAATGGAAGCAAATACAGATGGAAGTTTGAGCACATCTTTTAAGGGTTTCCAGGCAGCCTCTATCAGCCCATAGCAAAGGAGTGTCTGGTAAGCTGTCTTCTATCTTCTCCACCATACTCATCTCTAGTTCTGTTTCTAAGGTCAGTAAAAACACAGAGAAGTGATTATGCAGGAACTAGCTCTAAGGGATTATGCTATTTGTCAAAATAATAACAGTGAATTCAATATGTGTAAATCTCTTCTCCCTGTGCAGTAGATTTGTGCTCTGGTGCACACATGGGATATTGATAGGAGTCATTTCCTAGGCACTTGCCTTTGGAAGGAGTTTGTGATTGATATAATAAGAATCCCAAATTTTCTAAGGACCCACAAATTACAGGGGACGGTCCCTCAGGTTCTTTCTGCTAACTGCTGAGCTACTTAGCATTTTTATCAGTGACATGAAAGTAAACATAAAATCAACTCTGGTAAAGTCGGCAGATGACATGGACAACAAAGATGAGAGGTCACTGGTGCAGGGTGATTTATTAGTAAGAAAACAGCATGTGTTTTCCCACATCCTAATGTAAAGGTGTGAAGAAGTTGTGACTGTAAGAGGTTGTTAAGGAATCGGGGACTGACCTTGAATGAAAAGATAGAAATGAAAGCTTTGTGGTCAAAGCACATGTCCTGGTAAGTGCCAGTCCCTGAGGAGATACATTTGCCGAAAGAATAAGCCTTTAAGACAAGAGTGGGGGAACCAAAGGATCAAGAGGCTATACTATGGCACTGATTCATCCCGTAGAAGGCTTAAGCCCATCTGAGAATCCTAACAGCCTTGCAGCCTCATGACATGAAACCAGCCTCACTGCTGGGTGTGACTCCATTTCTGGGGAACTGCCAGGGAGCAGAAAATCTGGGGTTCATTTGACTATTGGTGGGGATCCAACCTTCATCTACTGGCAGGGGGGGTGAAATGTATGGCTCAGCCATTACTGGCTAGGCCGTGTGCCTCCTGGCATCTCTGATGGGACAGAGGGGCTGCCAGAATTTGGGCTATCCCAGTGAGGAACACCAGCCTTTCACAACACATGGATATGTAGATGCAGACATGGACCCTAACTTTAGCTTTAGCCAACCTGTCATCATGTAGATGAGGCACAGCCAAAATGGTGTCACTTTGTCCTGTTCTGGTATCTGTAGTCCAGGAAGATGTCAATAATAGCAGGTTTGGAGAATTTGTCTTTTAAAGGTTGAAGCTCATCACGGATAAAGAGAGGGACTGGATTTGGTCAGTCTGTAAGTGCCACCACAAGGAACAAAGCTTCATACAGGGCTATGTGGTATAGAAGACAGAAGTGTAACACCACCCAGGAGCTGGAAAGTGAAAACAAACATGTTCAGACTAGACATTAGAAGTGCTGATGCTTGACTACTGGAAGAACCTCCCAAAAACCTTCCTGTGTTTCTTTGCCCTTGCTGTTTTAAAATCTACATTAGTTGCCTTCTAGAATAGAATTGGATTTGAAAAACCCAGCAGTAACTCTAGTCTATGGGGCCTTCTAGTCTATGACTATAGGAAGACCACTTCCTTTCTTTTCCCCCAGGGTGGAGGCACCCCCACATCAGCATAGAGTTGTTTTTGTTGTTGTTGACTTTCTTTTCAAACAGCATATTTCAGAGTACAGTCATAGGCTGTGCTAGATGAAATGCCAAAGGAATAAACTTCCTGTATGATATGACATTGCCAGGGATGATAAGGACTTAAGGCAGGCTGGAATGGAGAAACCAAGCCAGTCTTCCTCTCATACAGACCAGGAATAAATCCAGAATTTGCCACTTAAACCAAGATTTGTCTTTTACAAATCTTGCTTGGAAGAGAGACAGAGAGACATGATGTGACTATCTTATGGCCCCTCCAGAATGAGAAGTGCCATTTGGGAGTGGGGATCCTACAGAAGCTCACCTAAAAACATCAGAAGAAGAAGGAAGTGTTCTGAGAAATTTGGTTGTCGCTATCTAAGACTATAAATAGGCTTTTAGGAAGCCTGAAAGCTCCTATAGTTTTACTTGTTATTTTAAAATGTTAATGTCATTTTAGAGCTCATGAAAGACATGAGATTGCTGGTGAAGACCTGTCTAGCCACATATAGGATCAGCAAGAAATTCAGGTTCTTCCATCCCATTCAACCTTGCCGTAGAAGAAAGACCAGCTCATGGTAAGTTTTGGTCTTTATTAACAGTTCAGCCTCCAGGCTCCCTGATGGCCCATGTTTAGTCTGAGGCCTGCTTTGTGATGCTGATATGTGTTACCTGGAAACTAGCCTGTTAGCAGCCATTTATTTCTTCTTATTTTACACCATGTTGTTTAGAAAAAAAAGTTGCAGTGCCACAAGAGGAACAGAGGTTGAATTTACAGAATCTCCCACTATGCCTCTAGTTAGTATGCCTTAATAGAATAGCTCAAAAAGGATACTTCAGCAGAACATGGATCTTTAACAGTGTCTCTATGCACTGGACAGCGAGATCATCACTTCAGGCTGCCAGTTTTTAACAAATTCCACTTGTGTCTTCTTGACTCCTTGTGGCTTCACCCACCATTCAATGCCCCTTCCAAGAACCATGCACTGAGACCCTAGCTGGCTATGGTCTGGTTATTTTCAGGTTTTACTTTTTACTGTAAAATTTGTTCCTATTAATTCCAGATAAGAGGAAAAAAATATTTTGTGAAAGTAAGGGCTTTTGAATTATTTTTTTTTCTTCAGCTTTTATAATCAGAAAGCAACATAAATTGTTTTCTGGGTTGGATGAGTCAGATTGAGCTGATAATCATTAACATTGCATCAGAACACTGCTTTAAAAAAATAAAATACTTCTTGTAAACATCTGATTTAAAAAAAGAAAAAAAGAAAAACACAGGTTAGAAGCTGACAGAAATTATTAGCAATAAGCTCTTTCGCATAGAAATAGGCTTATTACCATGCAGTTGCAGCTGCTGGCATGAGCCTGGCTTGATGCCAGCTGTGTCCTGCAAAAACCATCTTTCCACCTAACTCCAGGAAAAACACCAGCAAGACAGGGTTGCATTCGCTTCTCAGTCTCTGCATTATATACTCTCATTGATGCTGGCAGCAGTCCTGTGCATGTGTGTAAATGTTTCTAAATGTGAAAAAAAAATGTCAATTTTGCCTTTTCAGCTGGTAGACCTGTGGGAAAGGATTGAGGGCTGCTTTTAAAAGATAGGGGCAGAAGGGTAGGGGGATGTGTTTTATTATGTCTTTGAAAGCTAGTAGAGGACACTGGGGAAGGAAAGAATAAATTAAGTGCGGCTACATAGAGATCTTAGTGTAAATCAGATTTGCTAGACTTTGGGGGGGGTAGGGGGGGGGAGTGTTGTTAGTTTGTTGTTGTTGTCTTTTAGTCAGCAGAAGCTTATCCTCTGCATGATGCATGGCACCCTTCAGGTTCTGAGCCCACACTCAGATGTTGAAGCACACTTGTGGTTTGCTGAGATCTGGTGTTGTTTGCTTACTTTTTTTGGCCAAGGACTTTTCCATGTGATTACACTGTAGAAAGTATGCCATAGATTACATAGACCTCAATCAGGTTACAAGGAGAGAACGCAAGTCTGCATTTAGGAAACCATCTTCAATCCCAATAGGAATAACTTCAAACATTTGACCTTCAAACGTTTTTGTTATTGACTTGGTTAAATGTAGGATCAGATGCTGCAAATGTCAAGGCTGTTCACTTTGCTGGGAGACAAAAATAGTCATAATTAAAATAAAAACTGAAGCAAAAGAACCCAAAACGTTCATTACTTTGCAGGATCAGGCTTGAGGTGTGGAAAGCACAATGGTAGCAACCTTCCGCTTTAACAGTGATTTTTGCATTTATTCTAAAAGGCCAAATTATGTAAGATTTTGTCAACTGTAGTTGAATGAGAGTGAAAAATACTGGCTGTAAAGGAGGTGAGTGAAATGGCTTTATGGGGAGCACAAAAATCACTGCTGAAGTCATGATCACCCTTATGGCTGCAAACAATGACCTTTGCCGAAAAAACTCAAAGGTCCGGAGCACAGTGCTCATGCCTAGTCCAATTTCAAGTCAATCGAAGGAAGCAAAATACAAAGGGAAAGGTCATATTGACTTAGTGTAACAGTCTTAATGAATCTGGCTCTCTCTTTTGCATTTCTAGTTGAAACATGAACTCAGTGGCTCATTCCCTTCCTCTGTGTGCTGTTTCAAAACACATGGGTAGAGGGAATAAGCTTTTGCTCAGCTTGATCCCTGAATAGCACTGTGTTTAAACAGAGCCTGAAAAGCAGTCTTTTTATTTTTAGCAGCAGTATTTTCTAAAAGGAGCTGTTGTTGACAAGAAAAGCCACTCATATTTGAATACGAAACACTTACAGCACTTTAAGTGCGAGGGGAAAGGTAAGCAATGCTATCCAAAGCATTTGGGAGTCACAATCAATAAGGAAGGGACTGTGAAGGATTTGTGGACAGGAAATATTTATTTATTTCTCCAAAACAATTGCCCTGTGCAGACCTGGAGTATTTATTTGCACGGCTACAGCTTATAGGTGCAGCAGTCATGGACCAGCACCCAGCTGTATAAAGCAGTGCACAAATGCAGATCAGAAAGACAGGCTCAAATCTAAGAAAAGCGATCATAGATGTATGCAGACGGGTAGCTGGAGGAATGCAAGAAAACAAAGTGGGATTATAATGTTTGAGTTCTTATTGCAAAACAAAACAAAAGTACTGAAAGGTAAAAGGATAACATTTATTTGTATACTTTTAAAGCTGCTGCTCCCTCCTCCAACTCCAGTCCTGCCATGATGTCCCAATGAAATAAATTAACCTCTTAATAACACCTGAGCAGCAGCAGCAGCCAAGGGTAGAAGTCTAGGTAGACAAATGCTTAAAGTTTACTAAGTACTTAAAAACCACGACAAGCAGGCCTTAAAATGGGAAGTGTCAGACAAGCCTTTAATAACAGGTAACACTACCAGCCCCACCTATAATTGCTGTATTCCTCTCTCCACCCTCTGAATGTCACTTCATTTCCATCAATTGCAGCTTTTCTCCGGGCACAGATGGTGCCTTAGCAATGTCTGCACACTGCTTCACAAAAAAATGGGGTGACTTTTCTGTCTGAAGCTCTCAGGAGTTGCTGTGAGATCAGTATGAAATGACAAGAGCACAAATAATAGCAACAGTAAGGAAAAAGGAGGTCCACTTTGCCCACATCTCGCTGTGCTGATGCTATCATATCCACAGTATGGTTTGAGGGAACCTTGAAAGCCTGCACGCAGAGGGAATAACGTACTGAAAGGAATACATTTACTGTGCATCACATAGTCCCCATTAGGAGATTGTTATGATCATATTACTATGTGCTTTGTCTTCAAACAGAGGCTTTGCTGGCTTTTTCACCCATAAGCAAGAAAAAATACTCGGCATACTTGTTATCAGTCTCTTAGTTCAGATTTTCTCTCTGATGTGCAGCTGCTTCATTTTGGTTCTCTGTTCCAACAAGACGGATTATTGTCACCTTTTCTGTAACAGTTTCCTTATGCTCCTGGAACTAGACGACAGTCAAGAATATTACTATGAATCTGAGAGAGGTGTGTGTTTTAGATGAGTAGAGATGGTTGCATTTTTGTGTTTTGACGTTATTTTACACCAAGTGGACTAAAGGATTTTTTACAATTATATCGGTGCTTAATAACCAGACAAATATATTCTTTTTCAGACGGCTTGCTCCAGCTATTTGGAGAGGCTCAGTGACCACACAAATCACTTGGAAGCTGTTAACGCTGATTGGGTATGAGATGCTTTTTTAAATATCTGATGTGCGATCAGGAAATAATAAGAAATAAAAAAATCTGTGGGGTGAGTTTTCAAATAAATACAGGCTTGTGAGACAAATTAGGGAAGCTTTTGAGAGACAGTGCCTCAATGAATAAGCTCCTGTGTACTTGTAGTAATGTAACACACAAATCACAGTAAACTAAGCGTGATGCTTTGATTTGCAAAAATATGCAAGAATATCCTTTCAACTATCCGATCAGTTCTACAGCGAGCCCTCATGCTACCAAAAGGTCAGACTCCAAAAGGGTTAAGTATTGACTGACAAGAGGATGAAAGGAAGAGCAACAGAATGTAGGTGTATAAAGGTCTTGGGGGACATTCCTAAAAGTCAGCATCGGTTTTTACATTTCTTGCACAGGAGCAGATATGAATTTCAAATAATGAATAGACTTGAATCGTCTGTACTTTTCAGAAGTGTGAAACTCATGTTTAACTGTGCCCATGCTGAACACTTTCCTTCTGTTTTCATCCTTACGCTTTCATTCATTTGAAAATTCATGCCAGAAATTCATCAGTTTTGCTCCTTCTCACCCATTTTCACCTGTGTAGAAAAGACCATGCAATTTCTACAGCCATTAGCTGCATAATGCAGCTACAAAGGAACAAATACGGGTGAAAACTATTAGTTACCCAGGGGTGACAGTGTGTTAGAAACAAAGGAGTCTGAAAGCAAATAAAAATAACAGGCACCACAAAAAAAATGTCTTGCAGCCTAGGCAAACGCAGGGGGTTGGGAAGCTGGGCAGGGCATGCGCCCCTCAGTCCTGCTGCAACAGAGCCGCGGTAGGGATGATGGCCCTGTGGCAGGGCCCTCTGTGATGGTGGTGGCCAAACAGCAAGACTCGCTGGGTGAGTGGGTGAATCAAACAGGCCCCTGGCAATCTGTGCTCCACTCTCCTTATTTAGGGGCAGGATGTTTTAGGAAGGGAGAGTCTGCTGGCAACCTGATCCTCCCTCCGGTTGTGGGGATCTTCAAAGGAGATGGTGCTGGCAGCTGACGTCCCCCCCTGCTCCTGCTGCTTTTTTTTTCCTCATTCACTCTGCAGATGCCTCCCCCCTACAGACCTGCTGACCAGCTCCTTCTTCCTCCTCACAGATGGAGTGTGGCCCTGTGCGAGGCTTTCCTACTGTGTGCCATGTTGGCCCTCGCCACAGCCTCTAAATGGGAGCAGGAGCCTGGCGTTGAGGATGGTGATGGCAAACAGACTGCCACTGGGAGGATAAAAGAAATGACTTCTGAGAAGGAGCTTGCTGCAATCCCTGGTGCTTCCCAATATACAATAGTGGCTTCATCCCTGCCCCATCACACTTCACATGCACAGGGTTAAATACATCTGCTTGCAAAGTTGGCAGTGACCTTTTCCCACTTGTATTTCTAGAGGGCAAAGTTGGCACTGGCCTATGCCCACTTACGTTTCTAGAGGCCTGGGTGCCAAGAATTATGCCCTTTGCCTAAAGAAGCTTTGCAAGCCATCCCTGTACGCTTGAGGTACAAGGAGAGTTTGCCTTGTCCAACCCTGCAGAAAGGCAGAAGAGCTTGGAAACTGTGAGTCCACATTCCAGCCCCAAATCTCCAGCCATGCAACTCCCATACAATGAGATGTGGCACAGTGCTTTGCTGGGTAGCTGCAGGGACAATGGGGTGAAACATGTACTGTGTGTGCATGCTGCCTTTCCAGCAGTCCAACTGCTTCCTGATAAACTGCACCAAGCAATGTTGCTGTAGACAGCAATATCTAACCCTTGGAATGGTTTCAGTCAAACCACACTTATCTGTCAGCACGTGTGAGGAGAAAGGTGGGTGGAAGAAAAAAGTCAGAGCCGGCACAGCAGCAAATATTGACACAAAACAATAGCAAAACATTATTGTAAAACCCACACAAATGAACGGGTGAGTCTGTGGATAAGCACAGCCCAGGCGAGTGCTTCAGAATCATGCATTAATGTTATGCTTCCAGGGCTAAAGAATGCACTTGGAGAAACACAGCCTGCGTAAGCACTGCATGCAGAAACTGTGACGAGGGAAATTCAGTAAGTGTCACAGTCATGGAGAAGGGCAGATATTACTATGCATAATAAAGTGCAAACTGGCTTGGTCTTTGTTCTTTGTTTGTTTGTCTGTCTGGAATTTTTTTGTTTGTTTATTTAATTGCCTTTTCTTTTGTTCTGTTTGGTTGTTGCACCTGTTTGTTGTTTTTTGATTATTCATTTTTTATCTGGGAAGCTCCACTGGACATCTTTAACTCTCAGGAAACGCTTTCTTGATCAGGTGCTTGGAACCTGGCAGGATGAGACCCACATTTAACATTCACACTAAAACTTAACCTTGAGTCACAATAGCCCACATTAAAAAAAAAAGTCTTTGCTTAGCCACACAGCAATAAAAAGTAGCCAGTTGCATCGCCTGCATGGCACATGCTCGTGTACACTTAACTACCTGCTTTCCTCCTGAGATGGCTGAAATTTTCTCTTCCTTTTTTTTCTTTTCTGTCAGGAAGTTTTACAATGGAAAAGCAAATTTTTCCCCTATTACATTAATCAGGAGGTATAACGTGTCTAAAATAATTTGCATGTTTTTCGTAATAAAGCTGGACATAATTCCCTCCATGAAATGTCTTCCCGTGTAAAGTCCCTGTTCTCAATCTGCTTTTTTCTGATATCAGGTTAGGGCAGAAGCAGACGGTGCTGCCCATCCTCCTGGCCTCAGTATCAAGGCTTTGGTCAGCTGTGGTTCCTCTGTTTCCCTTCAGAATACCAAGCAAGCCATAGATTTTGGTAGACGGAGACTGTGTGGAGCATTCCACCGGCTGCCTAAGTATACCCAAATCTGCCCCTCAGTCCTACTGCAGCTCCCCAGCTTTGATTGATATTTTCCTGTCCCGTATGATATGGTCCCAATAACCCGAGTATGGTGGGTGCTCAGGTACTCCAGAAACAGGATCCAGTTGGATGAACAAATCGAGACACTGACCCAAACAGTTCTCTTCTAGGTCTGCTTCTGAGTAATGGCATTCACCTTTTATTCCTTTAGCCAGGTTGTGCCATTGGGTTTGGATCAAATTCCCCTACTGAAGCCACCTGTCAGCAAAATACGGTCACCCTTTGAGAAGGGGAATGGCACAACAGTGAAATTATGGCACACTGCATCTTTTTTTTTGGGGGGGGGGGGGGCGGAGCTCACAAAACTATTTGTTCGTGGCATCAGCCTTACTACAGGAGAAAGGTAATACTGGGCTGTGCAAATGCAGGCACAGGAGTTTGCGAAAGCACATTTTCCCTCCCCGTGCTTCATATGCAGAAATGCTATACTATTTACTCATTTGGATGATGACTAGGAGACACATTACCATAAGCATTACGGAGATGAATGCCTCAAATTTAGGAATTCATGTCCCAGTTGTTACTCTGAGAAAATAGCTGTGGACATGGATGGAAGCTTAGCTCAACTAACAGCGTAAAAATCAGATCTTGGGAGCAGATGTGAGTGTAAGCCGCAGAAACAAAACAAGAGCGTGATACAGAAGTAGCAACAAAAACAAAACAATTTTCAGTAGCGCTGCATAGCCGTCTTTCTTTAATGGATTATATGTTTTCCTCTTCAGGCAACAGGGATTTGAGACATGCAAATTCTAGCATGGGGCTGAGTTGAGCAACTATGCACTTGCAGGTGAGTAATCCCACTGACCTCCCCAGGATGGCTCATGCAAGCTCGGCACAGTCAAAAAGGACACTGGCAGCACTAGGCTGAGTGCACCATCTGTACATTGCCTTGCTGGAGCTTGGAAGCTTCTCGTGGGGCTCCCATCACTGCAAAGCCACTCCGATACACAGCGAGTGTGTCCTGGGGAAGGAATTCGTTTGATTAGTTTTCTTAGGCTTTTTTTTGTTTGTTTGTTTGTTTTTTCACAGAAAGAACATTTCAAGGTTACTCTGTGAGAGTGATCAATCATTTAAAACGTGCATTCTCTGATTATATTTGAGAAACATATTAATTAAAAAAATAAAAAAGGAGAAAAAAAGAAAAAGAAAAATGAGCAGTGTATATTCTGGCAATGAAAAACCAGAAAAATTAGTTGAGCCCTCAATTTTTTTTTTTCCTTTTCACCAGGTTTCTAACACTTAGGTCTGAAAAGAGGAAAAGGAGAAAAAGAAAAAGCACCTTGCTAGTTCTTTCACGTCACTGTGCACACGAGAACAGCTCACCGGGCTTCACCTGACTTCCTGTCTTCGTAGTCTGGAGAATGCTGTGAGATGCTACGGGTGTCTGCCCGTGAGGCAGCTCGGAACTGGCTCCACAAGCACTGTGTTTACCAGAGAAAACAGTAAAAATCTCTGCTCAGTTCACTGCACACTGCACAAGCCAAATGGCAAAGAGATGTATTTTTTTTTTTTCTGTGCTCGGAAGTAAATGGCAGTGCCAACACATACAAATATGCGTCTGTTGCTAATGAGGTGTTTACAGCCCCTGCCTTGCCAATTGCATGTGTGTAGTACCTCAGCCCATCTTCACCTTCAGGGCTCTGGGTAGGAGACAATAAGTGCAAATTAACGTATGGACATGCATTATCTCCTCCAGCTTGGACAAGGACTGGAAACCTCTCTAAGTATTTTTAAATGCCACAGCTCGCTACCAGGGCTTTAAAATCCCTTCTCCCACCTCTTTGCTGATGGTTAAAATGTTCTGGGGACAGGACAAGATGTTTATAATCGCAGGACATTTCACTCTGCACTCTGTTTTAGCGTGTGGGGGGAATAATAATTGTATTCAGACTTGAAATGGATTGGGTTACGCAGTTCAGAGCACAAGCACCTGCAGCAAATTAATTTGTTGTAGCACATTTATTATCTCATAGCTTCTCTTTAGGCTGCAGCTGTTGCTATTATGTTAATAATGTTTTTTATCACCACTGTATACAACAGGTTATGGTAATACAGAAATTTTGGGGCGAGAGGTGTTTCTTTCTTAATTTTATTTCTCAAGAAAAAAGAAAAGAAAAGAAAGATGGGGAGAATATAGCACGTAAGCATTGATCAGGCATTTAGCTCTGCGTTTATTAGCTGATTTGAAAGAGAATGGGCAACAGAAATTAGAAAAGAGTAACAATAGACAAAGATGGCGCGTGCAGAATTTGTGAAAGCAAAAAAGAAGAAGAAGAGGTGGAAAAAAAAGAAAGAAAGAAAGAAAGAAAGACCGAACACCGCAGTGCTGGGGTGGTGAGTGTTCGGGTGGGGGCGGGGAAAATGCTGCAGTTTTCGTGAAATAATAAGGTGGAAAAAAAGGCATACAAAGAGTAGGTTTTTCATTGTCTGTAAAATATAAACACAGATGAATTCTGTCTTTGGTTTGTTCATGCTTTTCACTCTGCACAGCAGGGATGTTCTTAAGAAGTTGCCCTCTGCGAAATTTCACTAAATGGAAACCGTGGACCCTGCATGATGCGATTATAATCACACCAGCCATTCTTTTTACATAATTTTTTGTTTAAAATCCAGTAATGCTTCTTGTTTTTAAAACATATATCTATATCTCTACGTGCATCTAAACCGGCGCTGGTTTACGTCCCCTCAGCAAAGCGCAAGCTGGAGCTATAACTGGCTGTATCCCATCCACAAATCTCAATGGACTCAAAAACAATATGAAAATTTTTAGCTGACAAGAACATGTCTGCTGCCTGCAGTCACTGCAATAGCTCACCATGTTGCCTACTAACCAAAAGATCAAAAATTATCGATTTCATGGCGCTGCGTGCTTTGGATAGAAAAGCTACTTTAAAATTTGCATTATTTAAGAAACGAATTAAGAGAAAAGACCTGTGTTTTAGAGCAGTTTGGAATGCAAGAAATGGCTTTATGTTTTAATCTTATCAATGATTTACTATAATTCTATTATTTTTACCAGCTGGGGTCTGGAAATGATTTTTTTTTGCCGATGAATTTAGGATTTTGCCGCAGTATACATCTGCAGTCCCAGAATCCTCTGGTAAGATAATCCCTCCTGCGATGGGGAAACGCCTTTAACCTTTTCGTGAATGAGAAATCTGCAACCATTTTGAAATAAAAAGGGGGAAAGAAGGATGATTTCTAAAAGCTGGAATGAAATTTACTGCGAATTGAAAGGACAATGAAAGGAAAACATACTGTAGTCGCGTTGTGTCGGTGGAGTTTCCAGCCGTTGTCTCCATCGCTCAAACCCTTTCTTCCATGGTGTCCGTACGGACGCCTGGAGAATGGCGTCACCCGTACTGCGTGCGGGCGAGAGATGGAGAACCATGATCGGAGACAGACGGAGCTTCCTTGCCAGGAGTGCAGAAATGCTACAACCTCCATTCTGCAGACTGGAAGGAGAATTTCGACTGCAAGTCATTGATTTTGACCAGTGGGTCCTTAGGACTACCAGGCTGCGTTAGGATAGCCAAGTGCCCAGGTAGCGAGAGGTGCTTACAGCTGCTTGGTGCTTACACACCGAAAGGGAAGAGGAAATGTTCTGAGGCATAAGGAAAATGCAAAGCCCTAGCCCGTGCACAGCCTGTTTGGAGGTTTGTTCAAATGAACCTCCAGCCCCGATATGCTTGTATTTTCAGACCACGCAGTAATTAACACAGATTGGTCTGAGCAGAAAAAAAAAAAAATCAGGCCTTAATAATTTATTATCTTATGTTTTATGGCTATGTATTAGAATGAATTACTCAGAATTGGGAAATGTGGCCTAAAGCTATCGAAAGAAAAACGCAACATTTAGCAAGTATCTTTTAGAAAACAGCTTTGTACAGCTCCATCCAGCTCTCTAGTTAGAGCATTGACAATTAAAGGGTTACGAGTCAGAGTCAGTGGTTTCTTGTGGACCAAGTTTGATTAGGAGAGAAGGCGGCAGGTGTCACACCTCTGCCGCTGCCATTGTTTCCCCTTTGCGGCCAGCTTTCCTGCAGGGCTGGCTGGGCACCACTGCCATTGTTTTAAATTAGGAATAGGAGACCCAGAATGATTACAACAGGCACACGGAGAGATTTTAATTGAAAACTTAGGAGCTGAGAAATTCCGGTTAATGACAACATTTTTACAAGGACCAATATTGTAGATTTCTGTTTACCTTGATCACGCACTAAATCTTGAATATAAAGCCAGCCTGGTGTTTATTTGTTTGGTTAGTAGTAATTAAAATATATGTGTTGGTAGATGCAGTACTTCATGTTTATTCTGTTCCACAGTGTCTGCTGCTTAATATGCCAGTAATCAGATATTCTGATGAGTAATGCCTCAGCTGTTAAATCAGCTGGAGACTTTTTCAGTTTCTGAAGCGTACCTGATATATAAACTGTGGTAGATATTCACGTGCACTGAATTGAAGAGGGGAACACTAAGGTATGTTGCATTATATTTGGTATAAATCCAAAATAGGAACACTGAAGGAAAGAATTACCTGTTTTATTTTTTTTTAATATCAAATTGGTGACCAACAATAATTCTATTTCCAAGCTTGAAACATTCACAGAATACTCCAGTTTATGTCAATACAACCAGCTGACCAGATGTTTTCATCAGCATCTTCTATACTAATTTACTAATATTAGTGTCCCTCATTCCTTCTGAATGACCTACAGCTACACACTGGCAGATTTCTTTTTTTTTTCTGTCATTTTTGAGAAGAGGGAAATCTCACCAGTATTTTGAATTTGGCTATTCCTCTCCCTTTATCCATAAAGAATATTTTTTCTTTTTTTTTTTTTTTTTCATTAAAACTGAACTTGAGTGGCATGACTATTTGTTTAACAGAGCAAAAACACATGTATTAATAAACTGCAGTTCTCAAGTATGTGGCAGGAGCTACATTGATTAGTCTTGTATCTCAGAATGCTTAAATATTGCAGGCATCTCTGCTCTTTTCCACTTCATGCTTGTATGAAAGAGAAAACGCACTGTTTTTTTAATATACTACAACTTTACTTTGCTGGAAAAAGGTTTCTTCTATTTTCCTTTTTTTTTTTTTTTTTTTTAAGAGAATGGATCAGAATGATGCAATTTTTTTTTTTTAATTTTTTTTTGCTGACAAGTGAACATATACATTTTATCAGTGTCTGAAAAAATATCTGTAGTTGATTCTACAGCACATTCATAGAATATGCACAGTCAGAAGGCAATAATGCATTTGTTTTTAAGATCCAAACAGGAAATCAAAGATTCAGGCCCAGAGCCCTGGGTGTTTCTTCATAATTGGTAATTTTGCTTTATCCTTACATTAGGCTATGGCCACTCATTTGTTACCACGTTTCTTACAAACACAGCCAAATGCCAGGATTTCAAAGGGAAAGGGAAAGGTAAACCAACTAAGTTTACCTTTAGCTGTTTGTTATTTTTAATGGGCTTCCTGCTTTCTACAGTGTTAGAAGTTGGCGCTCCAAAAGCAGTGCTAAGGATTTTAAAAAAGAAAGGAAGAGAGGAAGAGAGGAAGGGAGGAAGGAAGGGAGGAAGGGAGGAAGGGAGGAAGGGAGGAAAGGAGGAAGGCAGGAAGGCAGGAAGGCAGGAAGGCAGGAAGGAAGGAAGGAAGGAAGGAAGGAAGGAAGGAAGGAAGGAAGGAAGGAAGGAAGGAAGAAGGAAGGAAGGAAACAAGAGTCTAGCACTATGTACTATAGTTGTTATAAATTTATAAAGAAGAGAAAAGAAAAGAAAAGAAAAGAAAAGAAAAGAAAAGAAAAGAAAAGAAAAAGGAAAAACTGCAACAAAAAGATTTAAATAATTATCTTTTAAAATTTAACCATGAAGATCTCCTTTGCACTGAGGATTTCTTACTGCAGGGATACACAATGGACACATTAGAAGACTGCTTGACCTTTTGAAAAAAAAAATATGTTGTCTAGCAGATAGTCACCAAAACAAACCTATTAAAGTATAAAGGAGCTCTAAGGAAACTTCTGAAGCTGCGTATTTACCCTCAGTGTTTCTGGGAGCTGGGGGAGAAGAGCAAATGAGGAAGAATAACTGGGATGTTTGCAAATTTATTCATGGAAGCCCCACGCTCTGATATCCAATATAACATCTGCTCTTCTATTTTTGGTACTGGACCATAAAACACTATTTTTGAAAAATCATAAAAACAATGTGTCTTTTAGAGAATTTTAAAATTGAACAAAGAACAGAATTACATGATAGAGTTAATTATAATGGCAACACTTCCAGCAATTAAGATATTAGTTTCCCTGGTGTAGGTTTGTGGGCATTTTTTTAAGTGAAATTTTAGAAAATGGTTAGCTCCCTAACAGCTACAAATTTCAAAGCTGAAATGAACCAAATTTCTATTAGCAGTGTGCCTAGATCTAAAAGCAGCCTAATCACTCTGCAGTGAAACAAAT